AAGGACACCAATTACATAAGGCCAACATACCAAGACTGGGAGACACAGTAAATCTACCTAATATATAGAAACAAACACAGAGAGGTAGCCAAAATGGGAGACAAAGAAACATGTCCTAAATCAAAGAATAGGAGATAGCCCCAGAAAAAAACAACAACTAAGTGAAATGGAGGCCAGCAAACCACCAGATATAGAGTTAAAAACAGTGGTTATAAGGATGCTCAAGAAACTTAGTGAGAACTTCAACAGCATAAAAAAGCACATAGAAACTATGAAAAAGGACCAGTCAGAAATGAAGGATACAGTAACTGAAATGAAGAATACATGAAAAGGAATCATAGCAGATTAGATAAAGCAGAGGATCCAATCAGTGATTTGGAAGATAAGATAGCAGAAAACATAGTGTCAGTACTGCAGAAAGAAAAAATAATATAAAAACTAAGAATAGTTTAAGGGACCTCTGGGACAACATCAAGAATAACAGCATCTGGCCCGGCCGGGCGTGGCTCAGTGGTTGAGTGTCGACCTAGGATCCAGGCGATTGGGGTTTGATTCCTGGTCAGGGCACATGCCTGGGTTGCGGGCTCAATCAATGACTCTCTCATCATTGATGTTTCTATCTCTCTCTCTCTCTCTCCTTTCCTCTCTCTGAAATCAATAAAGATATATTAAAAAAAAAAAAAAGAATAACAATATCTGTATCACTGGGGTATTAGAAGGAAAAGAGAGACAGCAAGGGATTGAGAACCTACTTGAAGAAATAATAGCTGAAAACGTCCCTAACCTGGTGAAGAAAAAAGATACACAAGTCCAGGAAGTGCAGAACCTCAAACAAGATTAACCAAAAGATATCCACACCAAGTCACATTATAATTAAAATATGAAAAGTTAAAGACAAAATGAGAATCTTAAAAACAGCGAGAGAAAAAGTTACCTATGATAAAGCTCCCATAAGACTTTAAGCTGATTTCTCAACAGAAACATTTCAGGCCAGAGGGAATGGCACAAAATATTCAAAGCAATGAAAAGCAGGGACCTACAACCAAGATTACTCTACCCAGCAAAGCTGTCATTTAAAATTGAAAGATAAATAAAGAGCTTCCCCGACAAGAAAAATCTAAAGGAATTTATAACCACCAAACCAGTATTACAAGAAATGTTAAAGGGACTTCTTTAAGAAAAACAGGGGGGAAAAGAAACAAATATAAATAATAAATGGCAATAACTATGCACCTATCAATAACCACTTTAAATGCAAATGGATTAAATGGATAAGAAAACAAGGCTCATACATATTCTGTCTACAAGGGACCCACTTCAGATCAAAAGACACACACAGACTAAAGTAAAGGAATTGCAAAAAGATATTTCATACAAATAGAAATGAGAAAAAAAACCCCCACTGAAGTAGCAATACTTAGACAAAATAGACTTTAATAAAAGGCTACAATAAGAAACAAAGAAGGACACTGCATAATAACAAAGGGATCAATCCAACAAGATGGTACAACCCTTGTAAACTCTTATGCACCCAATATAGGGACAGCTAAATATATAAAGCAAATATTGATGGACATAAATGGAGAGATCGGCAGTAATACAGTCTTAGTAGGGGACTTCAGCACCCCACTGACATCCATGGATAGATCATCCAGAGAGAAAATCAACAAGGAAACAGCAGCATTAAATGACACATTAGACCAGATGGATATAATTGATATTTTTAGAGCATTTCACCCCAAAGTAGCAGAATATACATTCTTTTCAAATGTACATGGAACATTTTTCCAGGGCAGGCCACATGTCAGGACACAAAATAAGTCTCAATAAATTTAAGATTGAAATCATATCAGATATTTCTCTGACCACAATGGTATGAAACTAGGAATTAATTATAAAACAAAAACATAAAAACCACTTTAAAAGCCACACAAAGACATGCAGGCTAAATAACATGCTACTAAACAATTAAAGAGCTTTCAATGAGATTAAGGAAAAAATAAAAAGATACCTGAGCCAAATGAAAATGAAAACACAACAACTCAAAATCTGTTGGGCACAGTGAAAACAGTTCTGAGAGGGAAATTCATAGCAATTCAGGCCTACCTCAAGAAACAAGAAAACTCTCAAATAAACAATAAATCCCTACACTTACAGGAACTAGACAAAGAGCAACAAACAAAGCCCAAAGTGAGTAGAGGAAAGGAAACAATAAGGATCAGAGCAGAAATAAACAAAATCGAGTAAAAAACAAAAACAAAAGATCAATGACACCAAGAGAAGATTCTTTGAAAAGACAAACAAAACTGATAATCTTTAACCAGGCTCATCAAGAGAAAAAGAGAAAGAACCAAAATAAATAAAATCAGAAATGAAAGAGAAGTAACAACACAACAGAAATACAAAGTATTATAAGAAAATACTATGAACAATTATATGCCAACAAACTGCACAAACTGGAAGAAATGGATAAATTTCTAGAAACATACAATCTTATAAGACTGAATCAAGAAGAAACAGAAACTCTGAACAGACGAATTACAACCAATGAAATCAAAGCAGTAATCAAACACATCCAACAAAATAAAGTCCTGGACCAGATGGTTTCACAGGTGAATTTTACCAACCATTGAAAAAAATTAGCACTTATCCCTCTCAAATAATTCCAAAACATTCAAGAGAAGGGAACACTCCCAAGCTCATTTTACAAGGCCAATAGATCCTGAGTCCAAAACCAGAAAAAGACATTACCAAGAAAGAAAATTATAGGCCAATATCCCTGATAAACATAGATGCAAAGTCCTCAACAAACTATTAGCAAACCGAATTTAACAATACAGTAAAAAGATCATACACCATGAAGTTTGATTTATTCCTGGGATGCAAGGTTGGTTCAATACCCACAAATCAATGAGTGTGACACATCACATAAACAAAATGAAGGATAAAAATCACATGACAATATCAATAGATGCAGAAAAGGCGTTTGAAGAAATTTAGCACCTGTTTATAATAAAAATTCTCAGCAAAGTGGGAATAGAGGCAACATACCTCTTCATAATAAAGACTATATATGAGAAACCCACAGCTAACATCATATTCCATGGGGAAAAACTAAATGCATTTTCTTTAAGATCAGGAAAAATACAGTGATGTCACTCTAACCACTCTTATTCAACATAGTATTGGAATCCTAGCCAAGGCGATCACATTAGAAGAAGAAATAAAAGGCATCCAAATTGGAAAGGAAGGAATAAAACTATCATTATTTGCAGATGACATGATACTGTATATAGAAAACTCTTAAGATTCCACCAAAAAAACTACTACAACTGATAAATAAATTCAGTAAAGTAGCAGGATATAAAATAAATATTCAAAAATTGGTTATGTTTTTATACACTAATAGTGAACTATCAGAAAGGAAAACTAACAAAACAAGTCTGTTTATAATTTCATCAAAAATATATAGAAAGAATCAACAGCATTAAAATGTCTATACAGCCAAAAGCAACCTACAGATTCAATGTAATTCCTATCAAAATATCAGTGGTGTTTTTCACAGAACTAGAATAAAAAATCCAAAAATTTATGGAACCATAAAAGATCCTGAATAGCAACAGTGATCTTAAAAAAGAAGAACAAAGTTGGAGGAATTGTGCTACCTGATATTAGACTATACTACAAGGCCATAGTAATCAAAACAATTAAGGGAATAGATTTTGGAGGGACTACACATTTTAAGGTTACTTTCTAACTTTTGCTGTATTGAAGTCAGAGAAGTTTTAGAATTTATTGAATTTTTCTTTGTGACTTAAATCTTGGCTAATTTTTGTGAATTTTCTGGGAACTTAAAGATAGTGTTTTTTGTTATTTATTGAATACAAATTTATTTGATTAAGTTTGTTAATTGTGTTATTTAGATGTTCTATTTGGTCTGTCATTTTCTACATGCTGTGTGGAAGTCTCCCACTGTGTGTGTTCATTTTCTCTTTATGGTTCTAACAGTGTCTGATTGAAATATTGCTACGTGCCTGTGGTTTTATTATTGTTCTATATTCTTCATAGATTATCCCTTTTATCAATATCGAGTATCTCTCTTTGTCTTGTTTAATGACTTTCCCCTGGAATTTTATGTCTTCTGATATTGCTATTACCATCCCCTGAGGCTCCTTTCCAGAAGATCCAGGGATTCTTTCCATCAGATAGTCCGCCTTCACCATATTCTAAAGAATCCTTTCTTCACACCCAAGCCCAGGTATCATTATTGCTCAAATGTACTAAATCAAAATGACAGGGCCCTTAAATATCAGTCTGACATCACCTGCTCCCTCAGGCTGTGGGCTCCAATGAGCTAGAATGACTGCAGAAAGCCTCTGGTCCAGGGTAGGGTAAAGCGGTCTCATCTCCCAGCCCTGGACTAGGTGGGATCCCAGGACAGTGATAGGAACCAAGGGGGGAGACCAGGGTCGTTAGGAGCCAGAGGTGGAGAAGCGGGCTGCACGCAGCAGGGACTCGCTCACTCCCGGGCAGGCATGAGAACCCTGCCCTCCAAGCTCGACCTGAGGGTGGCCCTCCAAGAAGTAAAGGTGTGTGGCCGGCTTAGCTGATAAGGAACCAAGCACATGGACATAACCACCCAACAAAGCAATAGTGCCAGCACTGGCACCTGTACTTGTTTTACGAGGAAACTGAGGCTCAGAGAAGTTGGATGTCTTACTCAAGGTCGCAGAGCAAGTGTGTTGCTGGTTTGGCTTTGAGCCTCTTCAGCTTCCAAACCAGGGTGCTTCCAGTACTTGACTTTTGATCCCCTAGTGTTTACAGGTGCTTGATGGCAGGTTATAAACAGTGAAACGACCTGCTTCCCAGTCAGCGGAGGGAGACCCAGCGCCAGTTCTCTCCCTGCCCACTCTCCTGGAAAGATCCCCTCTCGTTCTACGACCAGACTCTAGGGCTGCATCATGCGGGCATGTCAGTGTGCACCTGTCCTCAGGACCCACCTGAAGAGGAGCAGCACAGCTTGGGGGAAGGTCTGAAAGTTGTTGTTCCGGTTGATCTCCGTGGTGTCGTTCAGGGCAATTTTCCCAAACACCTAAAGGGGGAGAGGAAAGGCATTTGGTGAACTGTGGACAGAGAGGGTCCTGATTTCCACCCATCATTCAATGGTTTCTTCAGGGGTCACAGCTGACCCTGGGACAGCAGAGACCCCTGATGCAACCTGGCAGGGTCTCAGGGAGCAGGCACCTGCTGCCCTGCGTCCATCCCCCACTGGACAGGTGTAAGAAGAGTGTCCCTGGGCCCTCAGGAGAGGCCCGTGGCCAAGTGGGTGCTGAGGCTGAGAACAGGCGGACTCTGCTTCTGTGCAGGGACAGATGGCTCATTGGTCTTTGAGGGGAAGGGGCTGCACATTCTTAAGAATATTTTCTCTTTTTTAAAAAAACTTTATTGAGGAGTACCTAGCAAACGTAATTGTATATATTTAAAGTGTACAACGTGGTGATTATTTGATGTACATATACACTGCAGGATGACTACCAAGATCAAGATAATTAACATTCACCATCTTACACAGTTATGTTTTTTTTTTTTTTGGCTTAAGAACGCTTACAATCTGTCAGCAATTTCAAGTCTGCAGTACTGTATTACTACTAACTACCATCACCATTAGCTCCTCAGAACTTATTCTTATGACCTTTTCTTCTTTGCCGTTTCAGCTCCATATGCCCAAGCACTCTTCCAAATTTAGTTCTTGGACTGTGGAGTGATACGGAATAAGCAATCTGGGGCTTGGGCAAGTTTAATGCATTTTTTAATTCACCCCCCTGGACTTTTAAAGTGATGCTTATCTTAGAAACTGCCACTTGGATCAATGGCAAGGTAGCTCTTTTCATCTCAAAAGGTTTTGGCCTATGAACCTTGGGATCTTTCTGCAACAAGCAAGCAAGGGAACCGTATTTAAGGAGCTGCTGAGGAAAAGCTCCTGGTTAGTGTGCAGTGCTGGTCTGGGGTTCTGCTGGAATCCTGAGCAAGGCTGGAGGACTCTGGGTGTGGGGCAGGAGAAGGTACACTGGAACCCATGGGGGGCCTGGAAACTGCTTTCGTGTTTTATAGGGAGAGCTTGCCTCTCTCCTTCCCTCTCTCCTGAATAACGCTGGATTGGGGGTAGTTCTCAGGCCCACCAGACCTGGACAAAGTGAAAAATGCTATCTGACACACCCTTCCTGCTATTTCCTGAGAAAGGCCCATATCTCTTGAGCCCACTGCATAATTTGGGAGTGTATTTCTGAGGGCAGAACCTAGGCCTGGGAAAATGGGCAGAGAAGATCTCTGAGCTGTGTAGACCACTCTTGGCCATTCACCCTGCTGCTTATAAGATATCATTTGCGGGCAGGGGGTCCAATTTCTGTAATATTTTTGACCTCATAAAGTGCAAGAGGAGGGAGCAGGATAGTCAGGAGCAGTGGGGAGGTGAGAGGGAGGAGGGCGCCAGGGAGTATGGGTCTGGGAAGGTAGGATGCACAGGAGCCCTACCTGCATCCCGATCACGGCATAGATGAAGAACAACATCACTATGAGAAGGGCCACGTAGGGCAGGGCCTGGGAGGAAGCAGAGAGATTGTGTGAGGCTGGTGGAGACGGCTGGATGGATCCCTTCCCGGGACACTGCACCAGCAGCCCTCAGCTGCCTGGCTTGGGGGCACTTCCAAGAGCCCCATAGATGTTCTGAGCACCTGGGAGAAGGCCTGAGCAATGGCACGACCCCTCATTTTACTTGGTTTTAATCTCCTGAAAAGCAGTACAGTATTGAGAAAAGCAAGTTTCAGAGTAAAAAATTAGTGTGATATTACTTAATAAAAATAAAAAATGAGCAAAATGTTCTCCGAGCAGACTTGTGTCTTTTTACGGCAAGGAGGAAGTCATGGAGGACACACACCAAGGCTTCCCGGGAGGCACAGGTGGAGGCAGGTCACACCCTTTCTTTGTAGAGCTTTACGTTGTTCCACCAGTTGTAATAAAAATATTTACTAAGGAAAACTTAAGTAAAAGAAAGATCATGGGCTCAAATCCTATTTCTGCCACTAAATAGCTATGAGAGCTTGGGCATATTACCTAACTTCTCTGAGCCTCAGTTTCCTCATCTGAAAAATGAGAAGAGTAACAATAACCTCTCAGGGCTTTTGTGGAGTTTAAATGATTTAAGGCTTACAAATGCCTCGTGTGTTGCCTTGCACGTAGTTGGGTCCCACACATTTTATTCACTCAAGGTATTATCTGCCCAGCAGCTCAGACAACTGAGTTTTCCAGAGCCCCCAACTCTTCTCCTGTAGAGAGGCCTCTGGGACTCCGTGCTGGTGTGGTCAGGAGAGCCACATGTGCCCACACATGCCCACACTGCATGCCTAGGAAATCCCGGCCAGGTGCCTGCACACCACTAGGTGGCACTGTGAGACCATATGGAAGCTCTGTGTCGCCGGCGCTCCAGCTCCACAGTCCAGTGTCACAAGTGCCCAGTCTGTCGCCTCTTCCTAGCCCAGGAAACGTTGGAGGGTGGGTGAGTATGTTGTGGGCCCACATGGTCACTCACAGCCGTGGGACTCCAAGGGTGCACTCTTGGACAGGGTCAGCCCAGTCCTGCTCCCAGCCGAATCCTCAGATTCCCAGGGACTAAGCAGGGCTTAGGGTGGGGTGGGGGTGGCAGGGAGGGGCCATGGCTCATCCTGAAGTGGGGAGTCAGCCTGGGCCTGGCAGGAGGAGGCTGGGCTCTGAGGTGTTCATGCCTTTGGGGTGGGGTTCCAAAGCAAGCAGGCGCCTGAGGGCAGCACCCCCACCTTTGGCTGTAACTTCAGTTACAGCACAGTTGCGACAGGGACCCTTTCCATGCCCATCCCTGGGCCCAGACTGGCCAGGGCAGTGGGCACGGATGGGGTTCTTCAGTGCTGGCCAGTCTCCTAGTCCTGGGAAGCCTGAGAGCAATGCTTCCCTAGGCGGGAGAAGCTGCCTTCAGGGTGAGGCTGAGGAAGCCTGGAACCCAGGCAGGGGGTCCCTGCCCTACTCATCTTCAAGGAATTCAGTGACCTGACAGGGCTTTGCTTCTCATTAACTTCAAGCTAACATAACACTTCTCAGAGATGGCCAGAGGCAATCATTACTCTGCTTTCACGGATGGAAAATGATGGCTGAGTAAAGACAATTCATCCCATGCTGGGCAACCCTGCACTCATCACGGGGACCATCTCTCCTCGAGGGGAGTGACACCAGGTCCTGAAGAGTTTGGCTAAGTCCACAAGGAAGTGCGAGCAGCAGTCACTGCAGCAATGCCAGAATTGGGAAAGGTCATGGGGGTCACAGTTTTCAAATTTGTTGCACCACAAAACCCCTGTCAGCCAATTCTTGCAGAAAAATATGTACATGAGAGAAGAAAGCAGAGCCATTCAGCCCCTTAGCTACTAGCCTTCCCTACCTGACTTTGGGGAAACCTGGAGACCCAGAAGCATGCTTTTGAGAAATACGAAGTGGGTCTAACCAACTCACTTCAGACACGAGGAAATCGAGGTGCATACAGGGGAGGTGCCATCACACAGTAGCGAGCAGCAGAGTGAGCCCTGTCTTGACTCCTCTATTGTCACCTCCCGTTCAGGGAGCCCAGGGGAAGCTGGGGTGGGGAGCCCTGCGCAGCCCTGCAGCCCTGGAGGTGAGGAGGCCCTTCTCCTGCCGTCAGTGCTCAGGGCAGAGGTGGGCAGAGGTGACTACCTGGAAGGACTTGATGAAGGTCCACAGCAGGGTCCGGATGCCCTCCCCACGGCTCAGCAGCTTGACCAGGCGCATGACCCGGAAGAGGCGGAAGAAGGTGATGGAGATGCGGGAGTTCTCCTCTGCGTTCTGGAATCCATTGGCAACAGGAGGTGGCAGTTAACACAGCAACACAGATGGGTGGGGCAAGAGCGGGGTGGGCCCTGCTCGAGCGACACAGCCCTTGGCTAGGATGGAGCCAGCTCAGGGCGGGTTGGCTGCACTAGGTTCTCTCCCCTGGCTACAGATGGGAGGCCAGTGCCCACCTTTTCCAGGTGGACAACCCAGCCCTGAGGTCTCCGCAGAGCCAAGCTGCGCCCAAGCCCCTGAGCCCGTGTTTCTTTTCCTATTCTCCCTGCTTCCCCTTCTTTTCTGGTTCTTAAGCTCCTGGATGGGCAACAGGAGATTCCATGAGGAACTTCCATATGCCCTGAAATCTAGGCTGGGAGCCAGCCTCTGAGGGCACATCCTGCCTCGGCCACATGCTGAGAAAGCAGCCCCGTCCTCCCTCCTGCCTGGTGTGGCTGAGGGCCCTGCATCCTGAGTGGGATCAGGTTCTCTGCAAGGTTGCCGGGCGGGTTGTGGCTCCCATCCAGGCAGTTGGGATGACTGCACTCGGGGTCTTGGTTGGGGGTGGGGTGGGCTGCCCACAGAAGGATCTTGTGTGCTGGATGGATGCTCAGGACTCGAGCACTTCTGCTGTGTCAACTCCTACTTCCCACAGCCCCTGCCCTGCATGGCTTCTGGGAGGAGGGAATGGGGTCAGGGTTAGTGCCAGGCGAGTGTCTGGCTTGCAGCCTTTGCCTTCCCTCGGGCTCTGAAGCTGCTCCCCTTCTCCTCCCCTCTGCCCTGGGCCTCTGGGAGGCACCCTTCTCCAGGTTTCGTGAGGCCCAGGGGGAGGTAGGAAGGCAGTCATCTTCTCAGGGGAGTCCTGCGGGGAGAGGGCGAGGGCAAGGACAGAACAAGGCCACAGCGAGCAGGACTGCCGGGGGCCCGCTGGCTGAGGGATCACTCGGCACGTTGGGCCTGGAGGGTCCCGGGGCTTGGGCACGTGCCTGGGCAGGGCTCAGGGGGCAGGAAAGGCTTCTGTCACCGCCTGCCTCCAGACCTGAGAAAAACATGGACCGACCCCCTTGACCCTCCTCCTGCCACACCGGCCGATGAGCCGGGGGTGGTGACCCCAGGCGGCCACTTGCCTGCTCACAGAGCTAGTGCAGCTCACCCAGCCCTGTCAGCACCACATGGGAGAGAACGGACCTTCGGGCTTCCTGTTACTTTCCCATCGCTGCCTCCCTCTGGGTCATCGCTGGGGCCCGGTATTGGCCCCCCCCACTTCTCCATTCACATCTCCAATCACAAAGAAAATGATTATCTTTAATCATTTTCAGGTGGAGCCTCCCTGACACGACCCATCCCCCAAATCCCACCAGCAATGACAGCCCTGGAGGGCTCTCGCAGGCCCTCTGTCCTAACCCCACTGACTGTCACTGATGTGGCTGGTGGCTCCAGAGGTCACTCATCTCACTCCTCTTCAGAACGGGAGGCCTACAGGGAGGCGGGAGAATCCCGAGGCAGGTTTTACGGGTCAGCACGTCCTGCTCCTCCCAGGGAGGGCTGCACAGAAACCAGCGGGAAGGCCTCTCTAGTTTCCTGACTCTGCAGACAACGGGAGAGCCACAGGATTGCTTCTATATCCAAACGAGAGCTGTCTCCGATCCCCACAGGGTGCTTGTTCCCCGCAGGCAGGGCAGACCTGTGGATGCCGGGGGCTGCTCTGTGGGCCGCAGGAGCTGGGAAGGAAGGGCAGGCAGTGTCTTCCTCTTGCCCTGAGCCCTCCCTGGCAATGGATTTGGAAATCTTTGATGCTTTTAATCTCTGCATTTCTATCACCTATGCATCTACTTGAAATTCTACTTTCTCTCCTTAAAAGAAGATCCTGTGCCCCCAGAGGAGTCTGCAGCTGAGGCTCGGGGTTTTATAACTCAGCTGTCAGTTCCACCATGTTCGGGAGAGAACAAAGAAGAAAGAACAAGCTTGAGCGGGGAACCGCAGCTCAGTGTCCAGAGTTTGAGAAGTTGTGCCACAGGGGCGTCTGGATCCGATGAGTTAAGGAATCAGAACCAAGTCTGCAGTGTGGGTTCCAGGCTGGGTTCAGAACCCTCCCGGCTGCAGCAGGTCTAACGCTCTAGAGGAGGGTGAACACTCCACCTGGACACGGTGATCTCCTCTAATAAACCAAATAGCAGTGGAGTGAAGCAGCAGACCCCAGTGGCCGTCCCTGTGAAGAGGGGAGCATGCCCCGGCCCAGCCTTCCCTTGGGCAGTCCAGCCTGGGGTGGAGGTGCCAGGGAACACCTCCGACCCACCCAGTCTTGCTTCCTCTATTGACTCTAGGGGTTCAGGGAATCATCCCACCCACTAAATGTGTGACGACAGCCTTTTGAAGAAGGCTGTTCCAAGGAGATCTCGAGGTCACACCAAGTGGCATCTCTATCACTTTAGCCAAAGTGAATCAGAGGCTCCTACACCGAGTGGTCCAATCAAAAAACTGAGTTTTTCTGCCTGTAGCCTGCTGGGATAGTCTAATTTTAATGAACTCAGGAATTTAGAAAAATCCACAGGTAACATTGCTGGAGTGACTGGAAATTCAACCACACCCTCAGTAACAAATCCCAGCTTAAACCTTTTACTGTGGCCTCAAACTCAGAGTGCAAAGGAGGCCAGTCCTTACACTTTATTAAGGAAAAAAGTCACTGTTTGCCTCTCTGCCTCCTGCTAGAATGTCTCCCCCTTCCCTTTACCTAGGAGGCCTTACCATGGCTCTCACAGGTGCCCTGTGCAGATTTCCCATATCAGGTTAGGGTTAGAGACTTAGCCAGTGGAGTCCTCAGGGTGTTTAACAGGAAATTGCCTTTAGGTCCAGTTCTTTCCCAGTGGTTCATTAGATAGTCAAGATCGCAGTGAATTATCACCCAAAGGAAAGTTCGGGGCAGAAAGGAACACCATTATACAGACAGCACGTCACAGCACACACGACACCAGGCAGGCAAGGTGCAAGACGGACACTGTGGTTACATGCAGCAGGGGCCACGCTGGGCTCTGGGACACTCTGAGGGTTGAGTGGGTAAGAGTGGGGGTGTTAGAGGAGGTCACAGAAGCTCAGAGCGTGGTCTGGAGGGTTGGTCTTACCATAAAGGGAGAGCATTGGGTATGTTCAGTTGGCTTTAAAGAAAGGCAGATAGAGATAAGCTGTAATGAGTCTCCAACGAAGATGTCGGTATTCTAGGTCTTGGCTAACACAGGAGCAACACAGTGGCAGGAGAGGGCAAAAGGAGACAAGTGACAGAAATACAAACCACAGGCCTGGTGGGTTCTGCACCGTGAGTGTGGGCTCTGCACAGCTGGGTCTCACATCTACCAAGGACCCATCTCCACCACGTATTAAATAGTTCACACTCAGTACAAATGAGATCTTCTGGACTTTGTGGATGGAGGCCTTGTGTTTTAAATCCTGCCATGTGATCTAAGATAACCTTTCAGGGCTTACACTTTACTCCCTCTAGCTCTACCCCAGCGTTGCCATGAAGGAGCTTGCAGGCAGTGGCCCCTCAGGCTTATGGGGGACTGAATTTTAATTCTGGAGGGTCTAAAGAGGTGCCCTCACTCCCCTCCATAGCAGAGGTTAGTCCTCAAGCTGAGGCTCAGGCGGGAGGCGGTTCTGCTCAGCTCCTAGCCTACAGGTGTGGAGAGCCTTAGCCATGGCATGAAAACTGAGTATGGAATTTTTTTTTAATTTGAAAGCCCTGTGTACAACTTAAGATATGATTACTAACATGCCAAGAAGCTGTTCTCATGGGTCTGACTGCTCAGCTCATTTGGGGGCAGGTGCTGTGGAAAACGGCCACAGGGAGTGACATGGCTGCTCTCTGCCCCATTCCTGAGCCTGTACCCTGCTCTCTGGGGCCCACCACATAGAGCCGAGGCCTGGACAGATCCTGGCCTTCTGAGCTGTTAACTCTCTCTAGGAGGTCATGGTTTTGCTTTTACCCTCCACTTTCAGATGGTTGCTCTTGTGTTTTGGTTTTTAAGGTACAAACAAAGAAGTGTTATAACGGGATTTTTGAAGGATGGAAATGCACAGCTAGACATTTGCTCGCAGACTTAAAATACTCCTTTGGCAACAAATTTCTCAACAAGTTCCTTTTTCCATAGCAAATGGATAGGATGTCCTTTTTTGGGGGGGGAGGGATGTAGGGGGAGGCAAGGGAAGAGAGGAAAGATACACTCTCTGGTCATTTACAGAACACAGTCCAGCCTCCGTTTCTGCTTCTTGAGGAGCAGTAGCTGCCAGGCCAGTCCACATGCCTGGAGGCTGGGCTCACTAGCATCTGACTAGTGGGATATGATAGAACATGGAAACATGAGGGCTCACACACACACACACACACACACACACACACACACACACAGCAGGAATTTCAGGATGGTCAAGTGCTTGTGCTCCTGTGTTAATGGATAAGGAGTTCTATGTTTCTGCAGCTTCGGTGAGGGACAGTGAGGGTCAGAGAGAGGTCAGTCTATACTATACACTAGGCCTAGGCATTAGGCAGAGTTCCCCGCAGGCTTGGATCCAAAACTCCCAAAGCCACCCTCTTACTGCTAAGAACCCTGGGCAAACACTTGAAGGTCTTCTGGGTCAATTCCATCCCAAAGAGGACCGAAATGAAGACAAATTAAAGAACCCACCTGAGTCACCTGGTCCAACTGAACAACTCCCAGCCATCTTTTATTTTACTTCTTAAACATTCAAAACCCTTCATTTGAGATTTTTAATGTCTTAACTGTCGTTTTTCTTGCTGATTTTTAGCCTTTCATAGCTCCCATTTAAGATCTCACCTATTTAAGTCAAATTTTAGTTCAATAATTTAGCTTTAGCTTTGCTCTAATCACCTTGATTGTGTCTTGCTATTTTAATAATATGTATTAATTCAAGAGTCCTCATGATATGTCTCTGTAATAGGGGGCAAGAAGCAGACAGGAGGACCTGTGAGGGCAGCAGTGAGAGGGAGGACAGGTCTCTGGGATCTTGTGTTGGGTCCCCAGACTGGGTAATGACTGCTCCAGATCCTCTCTGGGAGAATTGGGAGACTCGCAGATTAAACTTTTTCCCGGGCTTTAAGCCATGCTTTTCAGAGGGCGATTCTGTCTCCTTCTTCTTCTTCTTTTCTTTTTTGCTCAGTCCCTCCACACCCCCGAAACCTAGTCCCCAACACTCCCCCACTCTGCCCCAGCAGCTGTCAGCCTGCTCGATATCTATCTGATTGTCGCTATTTTGCTTATTAGTTCATTTTGCTCGTTAGATTCCACATATGAGTGAGATCATATGGTACTTCCCTTTCTCTGACTGGCTTATTTCACTTAGTATAATGCTTTTCAGGTCCATCCATGCTGTCCCAAAGGGTAAGAGATCATTCTTTTTTATGGTCGAGTAGTATTCCACTGTGTAAATGTACCACAGCTATTTTATCCACTCATCTACTGATGGGCACTTGGGTCAGAGGGCACTTTTGATTGTTGGGGCAGCACTGCCTGTCAGCCTCTCACACAAGCCTGTTCTATGTAAGGAGCTATGTTTACAAAATCCATCATCTCAAAATGACTGACCACTCATAATAAAACCAGAAAGCAATCATGGAATGATTTCTAAGTGGAACCAATAGGAAGAAGCCTAACACACAGTACTGGCTCTTGAACCTATGGCTCATGGACACACGGCCAGCCCCCAAAGGACATTCCTAGATGACCTAGTGTAGTTGCTCCAGTCTTCAGTCCCCTTGCGCAGCTGCAATTGGAACCCCTGGGTGAGCTAGAAGGGGAGACTGGACTAGCTGGACTTGGCACCTGCACTTTCAGCCCAGAGACATGTTTGTGTTGTTGGCCACTCTCTGTGAATCCTTAGTTTGTTTTGGAAAACTGCAGGCATCAGTTCTACTTTCTGAGCTAAGCTCAGAATTAGCTGGTAGCTTAGAATCATCCATCTCTGACCCTTTTCCATATCTGCCTCCAGTTCCCCGAGTTAGCAGACAGTTTCTTTACCCACGGTCTCCTGGGAAAGAGGGTGGTAGGACTCCCTGAAGACTTATGCCCCATGAGCCTGGAGACCCTGCCTGCTCTCCCCTGCCCCAGGAGCCAACAGGGTTGCTTACCTACCCCACACACTCCGGCTGAGCTATAATACTGTGCTGAATCCACTAATGGTAGGTGTGGAGTAAATTTCTGAGCAACCAATTTTTTTAACTTTGTTTTCTATGATCCAGTAACTTTCAAAGGGTTAAAGATACTGGGTCAATTAACTTAATCTGTTCAAGCTAAGGGCAAATAGAGAGGAGAAGCCAATTAACTTACTGCAATATACTTATGCAGATTAGCTTGGTTTGGTATAACTGGCGAGGATGATAGGAGTGGCACCCGGCAGCTAGTAAGACAGGGTCTCTGAGTGAAGTTCAGAATCAAATCAGATGTGCTGCCTCAGTGGATGAGTCTTGGTTTCTGGATTGTACTCACTGCTCCTGTTCACTGCGCACTATCTCTAGACCACCCAGAGGGTGCTCAGGGAGACTCGGGGAACACAGGAGGCTGGCAGAGAGAGGCTTCCCCTAGATGGAGGGATTTCCCAAGAATGTGACAATCAGTGGAATGTCTTTCCTAGTTAATATTACCTTGTCTTTCTGGAGAATTAAAAGTTGTTGAAAATAGCTCTTAACCATATAGAAAGGCGCTTTCTCCTTTCTGCTCTTCCTCCTTTTTGCACAGCTGGGAAGTGAAGATGACTACGGATTTTGGGCCTGGGTAGTAGATATCTAGGCTGGAGTATCCAACCAAGTTGTCTTCCAGAATATTCTCTTGCGATCAGGTGGTTAGAGAGATTTTAAAGAGCTCATAAGCCACCGCTGCACCCTCCTGGACATGTTGACTGTGAAAGGTATAGACTCCCTCCGACTCCCTCCAGGGAAGGCTGGCTCTTGGCTGAGTCAGGAACAGGGTCCACAGACGGGCTGCCCCATTCCAATGGCTGCTGTTGAGGCTACGGCTACAACATTGTGGCCATTGAGATTCCTCATCCCTCTGAAAGGGAGTCAAAGGCAATGTCATGGGAGTATGTGCGTCTCTTACTGGCGGCGACCTTGCGGAAGAGCCTTGCTTTTTGTTTTTTAATCTTTTGTCTAAAACTTAGGGAGTGGATGTGCTATCAGTTCCATTCCAAAGCACCTGCAGGTTGGGTTCCTGCTGGCACTGCCTCCACTCATCCCACCCCAAGCTCTGCTTCTCTGCTTTTGATCTCTACTCTCATCTTATCTGCAAGACAGGATGGTGAGTTCAGTAGTGAGAGCACCTGGTGTGGTGGGAGGCTGAGCGGCTGCGGCTTTGTTGGTGACATCCCAGTGAATCTACGTGGGAGGTCAATTACCAGCCTGCTACACACAGAGAGGACAGGGGCTTCTAGATACATTTGACACCACCTTCGTGGCCAGGAGCCAGCAAGTGCGGGTTAATGGAGTGGGGTCCTCACTATCCTCTTACCTCCTTTCAGCCAGGAGAAACGCACACCTGGGAACCAGAGCGGCCTATAGCAGTAAAAGAGTCAGAAGACACTGAATCTTAGAGCCAGCAGAGGTGGCCACAGAGAAAAGCATTTTCAGGAGGCCAAGGTAAAATATGTTTTACACCGTCAGCTTCTAAAGTTGAACTAAGAGCTTCCTTGCTAAGGGAGATGCAATGTTTAAATAACCAATGTTTAAGTCAACCGGGATATACAGAAGCTGAGGGTAGATCTCAGTGGCTTTTAGATACAAGGGTGAATGAAGGAAAGATGGGCAGCTGAAATTTCCATTTTGGTCTGAACTCATGGAGAGTTGTAAATGGATCTGTGGAGGAGGAGTGGTAAGAAGAGGAAGATGGGGGAGTTATGAGGGAGGCAAAAACACTGGACAGAAAAGGGCAGGGAACGAATGAAGACAAACCCAAAGATGATGAGGCAGAGAGTGGACAGAGCAACACCCCTTCCCCCCATGTCCACCACGTTGAAAATTCCCTGGCTGGCACCTGTTTCTCTAAGGAGGAAGTCTAGCCAGAAGGAGATGAGCCCTCTTGAATCTGTGGCTACAGGCGCCCAGATGAAATGCCCCTTCAGAACGTGCCTTAAGGGGAACTCTGGCCCCAAG